CACTTCCACCGTTTAGTTTTAACATTCCACACTTCAACACTACATTGATTTTGAACAAATTCTCAACAGCTATGGGTGGAGGTGCTAGTGAAACTAGTGGTGGTGGTGGTGCAGTGGGTGGAGATGGGGTGTTGCACAGCGATGTTTTTGAGGTGGTGGTGTTTGCCTCTGTTTGCGGTGGTGTTGCATGGTTTTGAGGTTTCTGAGGTGGTTTTTTCTCCAATCTGGGTGTGGTGGTGATGGGTTGCCTTGATGCTAGGTGTTGTTGGAGGTTTGTGATGGTTTTTGTTGGTGGAGCAGGTGCAGGTACAGGTACGATGGATCTAGCAATGGTGGTCGACGATGTTGTTGGTGGTCATGGTCGGGTCGGTGGTTGTGGTCTTAAGTGTTGGTCACAAATTATTTGGTCAAATCTGACCATTAAATTGGTTAATTTGTGATCAGTAAACAATATGTAACCAATAAAAAAATATAAATTGTGACCTAAAAAATTATTGATTTGTGACTGATAATTTGATAATTTATGTGTGTAATAAGTTGTAACTTATAATTTTCGTGATTTGTGACTAATAAATATATCGTGACTTATAATTTTTTTTGATTTGTGACTGATGAACAAACTGTGACCTATAAAATTTTTGAATTATGACCATAAAATAATCTTTGACCTATAAATTTTTTGATTTGTGATCGAGAAATAAGTTGTGACCAATAATTTGACAAGTTTTGACTAAAACCTAATCTGTGACTAATTAATTTTTTTATTTGTGACCGATGAACAAACTGTAACCTGTAAATTTTTTGAATTGTGATCGTAAAATAATTTATGATATAAAATTTCTAATTTGTGACCAAAAAATAATACGTGACTAATTAAATCGTTAATTGGTAACCAAATTGCATAGATCTGTGGTTTATATTTATTTAATTAATAAATTAATTAAATAAATCATAAATAAATTTTAATAAAAATCTAATTTTTGAAGTTTGAAACTTAGTTTCTTGTTTTTGAAATATGTGATAGTTGAACTCTTACTTATAAAATTTTTCCATAGAGCAATATACTATAAATCCTTCCAAAAAAAACTTGTTGTCCAAGGCCACATGGGCCCTGGACCGACAAGGGGACCTAATGGCGCCCCCCATAGGTGGGGAGCTTCCCTTGTCCGTCCACATGAGCCCTGAACGTGTAGCATATCTCAAATCTCTCATCGTGAACTCATTTTAATTTGACTATTATAATTCATCAAGATGTAAAAGAGAAATTGATACAAATGGTACATGATGTTTGACTCTTTTGAGCAAGTAGTCCCTAACCTTTTATTCTTGACGTTGACCTCTCAATCCTATTGATTTCGTGTGCAAAAAAGTCATTTTAAATGGTTTCCATCCATTCTTGCCATTAAAAGTAGATCTATTTTAATAAAAAGACATTTGTAGCCTTCATATGTTTACGCACTTACTTAAAAGACCATTTATGCAAAAATTTCTTGATTCTCATATTTCAATGCGTAGTAAAAAATTCCAATACGAAAGACCCGGAAAGAGAAATACATACGTAAAAAGTTAGGCATAAAAGAAAAAGAAATATAAATAGCTTATTTTTAGCCATTTTTTGTCATTACGATAATAATCAGCGGTGTTGGTATTAGTTTCTCACTTTTATCGTTGGTGTCAATAAGTCATTCTTAACCATGACAATTCGCTCATTTTTATTGATGCTAGGCATCATTCATTGTAATTAGACTTAAAGAGTAACAATAATGAATTCAAGAAAAACGATGGTACAAAACAAGATGACACTATGATTATTTTAAACTAACATTGTGATCTACGAAAAGAGAAAATTATTGACTTGGTAAAACATTTATTTTAAATTTTTGGCATTTTTGACCTTTTTTTCTTACAAGACCACTCTTATGATTTATCCTTTCATATGAGGTTGAAACACGTCACCCATCGAGTAAGGATTCACCCCTACCACTTGAGTTAATCGTTGACCTCAACAACATCTGACTTATAATGATTTTATTTCATATTGTATGCAAACTGAAAATTAAAAATTGTTTCTAATTTATGCTTATGGATGCTCTCATGTTATTAATTTTTTTTATTTTATTTTTTGATTCCCTGGTGTTAATGAAAGTACTGTTGCAAGATTTGTATATTTTAGAAATTTTTTTACAAAAAAGGTTAAAAAAATCGATAGATAAATAAGCTATTAAGAAATATGAGAATTAAAATTTTTTGCACAAGGGTAAATGTGGATAAAGGTATAAGTGTTTTTCATTAAATAGATATACTTTTACTGCAAGAATGAATGAAAACAATTCAAAAGTTTTTTTGCACCCAAAAATCAATAGGTAAAGGGTTTGAATTATGCCAATGATTGACATAATGCCACGTGACGATCTATCATTGAACTATTTAAAACACAATAACATTTTTCATCTAATCACAAAATGCCACACTATCTTCTGTCAACCAATTGGCTAGATCTTTCTGTTAATGTGGCTTTTCCGAAGGGGTTAACATCATGATTGGAATGTTAGGGACCACCCACACTGAAAGGGCTGCACATTAGCGACAATCTGCACCAATTTTACATCTTTATAATTGTGCACTAAACACGTCCTTATAGAATATCTATCTTTACACAAGTACTATAAAATTACGACTATAAGAATATTACTCAATGGGCAAAAAATAACATTTCTCTCTCCCCAAAAACAAGATGAACTAAGGTGAACTTACGGGGAATCAAAGTGATTAAAAATTTACAAGGGCAAGTTGAAATACCACCAAATTGAATTTACGTGATGCCAAATATCTTGAAAAGAAATTTCAAGAAAGTCCAAAAGGCATCTAATTTCTTTCTCAAACACTTCCAAAATTTTTTTTTTTAATAATTAAAATAAATCATAGAAATAATTTAGAGAAGAAATATAGGAGCCTCTATTCGTGGAGCGTGTGATTTGAATATACATAAAATCAATTTGCTAAATTTATTTAACGTAGACTTAATTCTAAATTTGATGCTAATATACAACGATAGCAATTATTATTTATTCTCATGAACACGAATATAATTAATTTTATATTAGTTAGAATTATATTTTATGATGAGAATTTTATCCACGACATCGTAATTACCTATATTTGATTGTAATGATGAAATTTTAAATGTCAATAATTTTTAATCAATTGATTATGCTTCTTCACTCCACTATAACCCCATAAAGGCCTTTTTGTCTCCGTACACAAAATGCTAGAATACGAAGGGGCAAAATGATATTTAAAAATTTAGAGGGGGCAAATTGAAAAACCATCAAAAGTTGTAAACAAAGTAAAGCACAACGGTTCGATTCTGAAGAGCTGGCGCAAATGGGTCTCGACTGCCTGCCACCATTACATCTCCCTTTTTTACAGCTAATTCACACGCTGTCGCACAGAATCAAAGATCCCACAATCCCATGACCCCACCCTCCATCATAATTCTTGATTAATGCTATTCAGATCATAGCATAATAGCTGCTTTTTCTGCTTCAGTTTGGTCCTATACTTGGTAACAGTTGGCTTAGTAGAAGATCCATATGTGTTATATGACTGGACAGTTTCTTACATCATTGTTTCGGTAAAGGGTTGTGTTATCCCACATCGATTTAATATCGAAATAAATATAAATTTATAAAGATCTTGAGCTTATCCACTTTAGGGCTTCTCCACTTTATTTCGGTATTAAACTGATGTGAGATAACACACACATCCCTTACCAGCCTCCCCTCTTTGGATTAAAAAACAGGTCCTTAATTTCATTTTAATTTTATTTCTGCTTTTCTGTTTAGACCCTTTAAGTTTTTAACTTTAATTGTTACTTCCCATATGAAGTTAGCCATCAAAAGCAAAACGTGGAAGCCCCATTGACATTATCGGAAGAGTCAGTCCAAACATATGAAAAGATAAAGCAACAAGATTACGAAGGCTACAGAAGCCGAAATCCTTGTGCTGGCCAAGGTGCCACTCAACTAGATATATGCCGAAGCCTTAATGAAGGGTATATGCCGAAATCCTAATGTTCACGACTTGTTGAGGTCTTGAAAGACGAGGTTGAAGTTCTAGGAGACAAGGAGACTGCCACATCTATCGACCTGACGAATATCTTTGTGAAAGGCTGATTAGACGTCTACTTTATCTTATGTCAGGAAATATCAACCTAGAAATATATGATAGTTGACCCTTTGTCAATATAATAAATGTATGTATAAGAAGAATATGATGTATAGAAGAATAAGGTAGGGATATGTGGTTCCGATCCAACAGCTACCACGTTTTCTCGAAACTCTACATATACACCCTTCATTGGAAATAGGGCTGGGCAAAACCCAAACCAACCCACGAAAATCGACCGAACCGACCCAAATCGATCGGTTTTTTTGTGTTTTTATGTGGGTTTCGGGTTTAGGGGGTGTTGTTGGGTCGGGTTGGGTCGGGTTATGGGTTACCCATAGAAAACCGATCAAACCCAACCCGACCCAAACCGCTAACATTTAAAATCGAAAAAAAAAATATAAATAAAATATGAAGTAATAAACTGAACTACTGAAGCCCTAAACCTAATAATATTTCCTCAAGACTCAAGCAGCCGCCGCAGTCACTCTGAATCCACATATATCTCCAACCATTTCATCCTCCTTTACTCCAAATGCAGCCGTCTCTCCGCTGCTCGTAATGCATTTGATCTCATACTTTATCCCAATGTCTTCTCCTTTAACGCCATTGTAGCTGCCTATGGGAAAGAATCACAACCTCACATTGCTCATCAGTCATCAGCTGTTCGACAGAATTCCCCAACCGGACATTGTGTCGTATAATACTCTTATTTATCCACTCACTCTCACTCTCGTCTCTCATCTCTCATCTCAGTCTCTCAAGTCTCAAGTATCAACACCCAACTCCTTGCCCTAATCTCTCTCTGTCCCGTGACTCGTGAGCAACTGAGCATGAACCCGTCGGCCGGCAGCTTCTCTCAAACCACAGCCACAGGTAAGTATCATCCTTTTAAATCGAGATTTAATTCATATAATTCATACATAAAGTCTCAAGTATCAATTACCTTGATGGGTATTATATATTAAGAATACCAATCAGTAATCTGTAATCACACCAAACTTAGCTAAATGAAGACAACACGGGTTTCAAGATGGATTTTATATATCTAATTTAATTGTGTATAATGGCCATCTAGATTTATTTATTTATTAAATTCCTGATTTAAGAATTTCAACAGATAGTGAAGGCTTGCACATTTTTATTTTTAACACACTTTTTATTGTTATCCTTTTTTATGAAAAACATGATACGTGCAAGATGTGAACTCAAGTCTTCAATTTGAGCATACTTTGACATAGGTGAAGCACGTTGAACGAACTATCTGTAATTGAGATGGTTGACGGAGTATAAAAACTTTGCTTCAATTTAATTAACAAATTTTCATGTACATATTGCTTATCTATAGTATCTGTGAATTATTATGGATGTATCTATAGTTTCTGTTGTTTCTGTGAATTACTTATTAATGAAAAGTATTTCTAGGATTTGACAAGACTCCAGTTTTTCAAAACTCAATCATGAATTCATTGTACAAAATTTGCTCCTTTTCCACACCCCTGTTTCATCAAGTTTTATTGGCATTACAAAGAATTATGTGACTTATTCCGTTAACAGCCCCTTATTCTTCATTTTTACACCCACAGACTACAAAAGTACATTCATTGCTTTAACATCATGTTTGTGTTTGTAGATATGGATGAACGTGAAGAACATGGCATAGAAACTCCATCAAATGACACAGATTTACAACCAAGTCTTCCTCCACGTGCACCGTCAACATTAGGTAAACGAAAATCTAGTAGATTAGCTTCATATGTTTGGGATCACTTTACGCTTTTGGGATCAAGGGATGATCCAGATGTTAGGTGTAAATGTAACTACTGTGAGGTAGATTATGCTTGTGGCACTAAGAAGTGTGGTACTAGCACATTGAGCAATCATTTGACAAATCAATGTAAGAAGTATCCTGGTAGATTGGTGGATAAGAAGCAAAAAATCCTTTCTTTTGAGACCAAAAAAGAGGGGAGTGGGAGTAATCTTGTTGCTGTTGGTCAAAGTAAAGAAGAGTGTAGAGTTGCATGTGCTAAGATGGTTGTATTGGATGAATTACCTTTTAGGTTTGTTGAAGGTCGGGGCTTTAGGTTCTTTTGTAGTGTAGCATGTCCTCAATTTCGGGCTCCATCTCGGAGGACTCTCATGAGAGACATCTATCAATTGTATTTAGATGAAAAATTGAAATTGAGAGATATCTTTTCTTTTCACCGTCAAAGGGTTTCCCTTACAACCGATACTTGGACTTCCATTCAAAATGTTAATTACATGTCTCTTACAGCACATTTTATTGATTCTGATTGGACTCTTAATAAGCGTATTTTGAGTTTTTGTGTTGTTCCAAATCACAAGGGAGAAACGATTGGGAAAATGATTGAGACTTGTTTACAAGATTGGGGAATTGAGAAAGTTTTTACAATCACTGTTGACAATGCAAGCTCTAATGATGTGGATATTGCTTATCTTAGGAGGAAATTGATTGCTTGAGGTAGTGATGAATGTGTTCTCGATGGGAAATATTTGCACATGACGTGTTGTGCACATATTATTAATTTGATTGTTTGTGAGGGGTTGAGGGATGTGCATGACTCCATTGTGAATATCCGCAATGCAATCAAATATGTGAAATCTTCTCCTGCTAGGTATGAAAAACTGAAGGAGTGTGCAAGAAAAGAGAAGATTGATTGCAAGTCTATTGTATTTTTGGATGTTCCAACTAGGTGGAATTCTACATATTTGATGTTGGAAACGGCATTGAAATTTGAGAAAGCTTTCGATAGGTTAGAAGAAGAGGATGCTCAATATTTGCATTACTTTCGGGAAGACGATGGTGGTAGAAAGAGAGGTGGACCTCCTTCAAAATTAGATTGGGAAAATGGATCGGTGTTTGTCAAGTTTCTTAAAAATTTCTTTGATGTGACTTTGACTTTTAGTTCTTCGTTGCGTGTTAGTGCTTGTGCTTATCTTCATGAAATTTGTAATCTTGTAACCGAATTGGATGAATGGATATAAAGTGGAAATTTTTCGTTGGGTGAAATGGCAACTAACATGAAGAAGAAGTTTGATAAGTATTGGGGTAAAATGGAAAACGTGAATCAGTTGTTGCTTGTTGCTACTATTCTTGATCCAAGATATAAAATGGATTACGTTGAATACTGTTTTAGTGATCTATACATGGATGGGGAAGTTGTTAGTACCATGATGAAATCTTTGAAAGACAATTTAATGGATATTTATGAGTGGTATGTGGCCTGTGAAGGTGTTCATGGAAGTAGTCAAGTATCAACTGATGAGTCTTTAACTTCTTTCGGTACAAATAAAGATAGTTCTTCTTCTATGAGTGATGCTCGTCTTTCTAGATTTTTGAAAAAACAAGTTGTAAAAGATTATGCTGAAATAAAAAATGTTGTGGAAAGATACTTACTTGATGCTCGTGAAAGCATAGAGAACAAGGACTTTGATGTTCTCGATTGGTGGAAGCTTAACAAAAGTAAGTACGGTGTCTTGTCTAATCTTGCTAAGGATGTCTTGGCAATTCAAGTTTCAACAGTTGCTTCAGAAAGTGCTTTTAGTACCGGAGGAAGGATACTTGATCCTTTTCGTAGTTCATTGAGTCCTAAAATGGTGGAAGTCTTGGTATGCACACAAAATTGGTTGAAAGCTTCTCCACAATTAGATGGTTTTCACATGGAAGATATTGAGCATTACAACCAGTTAGATGAAGGTAATATGTATTTT